AGACACTGACAAGACAGACAGGCGCCACACAAAAAGAAAAGCTTTGATTCTACTACCCAGAGTCCTCGTCAGGGCCGGGGTCAGTGGAGGTTTCCCGGCTCGTCAGCCACCTCGATCCTGACAAACAAGACAGTTGCAACCGCCAGCACAAAGCTTACCTCCGGAGGCTTTCAAAGGTCTGTGTCTGAGAATCTCCTGCTGGATCCAGCAACAGAGACTCTCGGCCGGATTTACAGTTCCTGCCTGGGTATCTCGCTGGGGCCTCCAATATGTAAGACCTAAAGTCTCACTTCCACTCCACGGAGCGTGAACAGCCGAAAGGCCTCCACGATGCTGGGCCCTAACACCCAGCGAGGCTCCGGGAACACGACAGAGAACCGAGAAACCCAGGAAGGAACACACCAGGCTAGATGGTAAAAGAGACCTTTATTAGTCTGGCCAGACGGCACTCCCGGAGCCAGGTGGCTCAGAGAGGCAACTGCTCGGGGGCTGAGGTACTTTTTATAAGGTTTTTCTAAACAAAGAGTCAGGGAATTCACAGAACAAGACTGAAAACACATTGCTTATCTTATGCAGGAAATGTTCTAGGGTCACCTTTTGTCAAACCGTTTGCCCCTGGGCGGGCTGTTAACCAAGGTAGCAATTAGCATATGAAGAAGCACAGTCTGGCCTATTAGCATGGAGTCACTTTAGCCTATTCAAGTCTTACAGAAGAAAAACTGGGCTTGGAGTCAGAAATAGTAATCAAGAGTAACTTAGCAAACACCTAGGCCACGTGCTATATTAGAGTCATAACATACATTATTTCTTTTTAATTTTCACAGCAGCCATATGAGATAAGCATTATGTTTTTTTTAAGATATAGAATGGTTTAGTAATTTTCCCAAGTTCGCATGGCTTGTATGTGGAAAGGTTGGGATATAAATGCCAATAAATACCTATAAAAGCAATGTTCTCTTCAGTTGTATCCCCAAATATACCTGGTCTGGTCAGATCATAAATTCACTTTGTAATACAAGACAACAGGGTCCTCATTTCTGCTATGATAACAGTAGCATCTCCCTCAGAGGGGTGATGTGAACTGAAAGTGAGATCTTGTGAAAGCTTTTTTGTAGAAATTAATAGCACCATAAAATTCAGAGTATTATTAAATAACGAAGACAGAAAGAAAAAAATGATCTTTGGTTTTAGTCCTGGTCCTTTCTCTTGTCATTTGTTATTCTTTTAGTAGCAAAGCAGTTCACCTGGTGAGACCTGGAAGTTTTTGAACTCAAAAGTGGCACATTGGAGAACTGAAAGACCACAGGTTCATCTCCTGTGATAAGTGAAACCCCTGGGGGCTCACACCTGACATTTGTTTAAGTAGTACTTTGAGGTTTAAGGAGCTTTCCCGTTTCTTGTTCTAGCCTTGTGCTCTTGGGGGCAAGAGCCTTTTTCCTGGTTATGCAGATGGAACCACTTAGTCCCAGCGGGGTTGTACCATCTGTTTATGCCACACAGCAAGCTATCAGGAAAGCTGCTTCTCAAGCTCAGGGTCTGTATTTGCACTGCATTTTGGATTCTAAATCTGTCCTTAATGGATTTCTAAATCAAATCCAAAGTCCCAGTTATTTTATTTTAGTTGGTGTTTTGGTAACAGGGATCGAACTCGGTCCTTGAGCTTGTGAGTCGGGCAGCAGAACAACTGAGCTAAATCACTGGCCCTCCCAGTTATTTTAAAGTCTCCTTTTCACTCTCTTTTCTCTCTCCGTGAGGTTTTAATGAAATCTGTCCTTAATGGATTTCTAAATCAAATCCAAAGTCCCAGTTATTTTATTTTAGTTGGTGTTTTGGTAACAGGGATCGAACTCGGTCCTTGAGCTTGTGAGTCGGGCAGCAGAACAACTGAGCTAAATCACTGGCCCTCCCAGTTATTTTAAAGTCTCCTTTTCACTCTCTTTTCTCTCTCCGTGAGGTTTTAATGATAAAACACTTACAACATGTGTTACCACCATCTCTCTCTCTCTCTTTTTTTTTTTTTTTTTTTT